GCCTCAGTTGCCACAGCAGTCAGTCGGCGGCAGCGCAGGGGCCGCGGGGGGCTCGGACTTTGGCTGTAGCGCTGCGGCGCCGCGCTCCGAGAGCGGCTTCCTACCCTACTCGGCCGCCGTGCTTAGCAAGACCGCCGTGAGCCCGCCGGACCAGAGGGACGAGGCCCCGCTTACCAGATAACTACGTCGTCGCCGCCGCCAGGGGGCCGCGCCTGCCGCTCTGCGTGTGCTCGGGAATCCCTGTGCGCCCCCTGCGCTCGCGGAGCCCTGCCTACTGCTACCGCTGTCGCCAGGGGGCGCCCCGGGGCGCGAGAGGCTGAAGGGAGCTTGCCCCGAACTGGGGGGAAGAAGCCGGAGCAAAAGCACTGCGGCCGTCCCCCCGGATTATTTCTATTTTTGTATTTGCCACCCAGCCGTCTCCCCTCCTCTCCCTCCTCTATGTTTCCCGCCGCTCAGGCTCCACTTCCCGCCTCTGTCCTGAGCTCTTGGTCTCCCCGAAGACAATCCCCCCACCCCTAAACCAGTCCTCCAGGGTCTCCAGCCCTGGGTGTGCATCCTCAGGCCCGGGTTGCTCGTCTGAACTGCGTGGTCAGAAGCAATGGAGAACCACAACAAAGAGAGGGGAATGGTGTGCGCTAGTGTTTGGGGGACAGCGGGAGTCACCTCCCTAGTCCTCCCACCCCAGGTTTCTGCTGCTGCTCTTTTTCTTCCATTCTTTCTTTTTTTGAAAGGAGGGTGGGCGGGAGGTGGCAAATTTTCTCTCAGCCCGAGCTTTTAGGCGCCTTGTGCGAGGAGAGTGGGAGAATGGAGGTCTGAGGAGAAGGCCGGGAGGGCGGGTGGAGAGCGCGGGCGGAAGCTGGTGTGTGTGCGAGATTGTCTACTGCACTGAGGATGCGAGGCCGGCTGGGCTGTGGCCGCCTTCCTCGGAAAGGACAAAGCCGACGTGGGAAGGAGTGGCCGTCGCGCCTCCTCCCTCTCTGTCCACCCCCCGGTTTTGCTTTGGGTCTTTGGTTTCAGTGCTGATGGAATGAGAGCATCTTGCATATTTTATGCAAAAAGTGATGGCTAATGAGGTTGCCGCAGCCAGGACAGGGAAGGGAAAGGAAAGGAGGGGAAGGGGAGGGCAAGACTGACAGATCGCGGTAGTGTTTGGAGAGGCGTTTTCATTCCAGTTTTCCGACTACCGGGTCGATCTGGGAAATACTTGAATCTCTAGATATATAATATTATACTGAAGCCTTTCCTTATACACTTTTCTGAGTTCAAACTCTCTATTCCCCTCGTCTCCTTCTCTCCTCGCTTTCCTTTTCCCCCGAGTAAAATGGTTCTTGGCATATTTCTCACGCATGTCTATTGTGCCTCCGCCTCTGCAAGGCCACCGCCGGGTTGCTGAGACCCATTCTGCCAACCCCGGCTGCAGGAGGGGTTTCCTTGAACTTGAAGAAAGGTACATCAAAACCCACCAGTGTTAACTGCCACGTCAATTTTGATGCTAATAATGTGCAGATTATGACGAAAATTGCCAATCATGCTCTCTGATGGACCTCCTTTGAATGTGGAATTGGAGAAAAGTTCCCCGCACGGAGACCTGCTGTCAAGTACTAACAACCCGCTAAGGGAAGTCATTAGGAGAGACGGATAAGAGACTCGGTACATAAAACATTGTTCTTGGTGCATAGAATGTATGTTATTTAATGTTATCTCTGTTACCTGAAGTGATTTCGCAGAAGAAAGCCACGTTCTTATCATCTCAATTGCCAATTTTCATTTTGGTAACTTGGACGCCCTGGGTAGACTTTTCTCTGTTAAGTTGATATTCCACCAATGTGAACAGCCTCATTAAATCAGGCCCAGATATTTCCATAATGCTCCCCGCAGAGCCACTTCGCTCCTCACATAATGAGATTTTCTGAAGAGTTGAAGCCCTAAAATAACTTGCTAGTGCATGTTTAGGTCCAGCGAAGTGGGTATGTGTGTGTGTATTAAAATGTAGGTATGCCACCTACGTGTGTGTATGTGTGTATATATATGTATGTGTATGTATATGCATATATATACCCGTGCTCTTAAATGCATATGTAAGAGATACACACATATCCGTATATACACATTGACACTATTTTCTGCGATTTATTGCAAATGTATCCTGACATATTTTTGTTATTTTAAAGACACTGGATTTTAAAATTTCATTTTCTGAAAATAGGCTTTCAGTAAACTTTTGAAAGAATTTATTTTCCAGGAGAAATTATTATTTTTACCAAATGGAAAATATTTCAAGGGTAAACAGTATTTCAAAACTCCTGAGGTCTATTAAAATATTTCCATAAAATATTAGAGAACTTCCTAATGAAAAAACAATGATCTAAAGGTCAACTTTTTTTAAAAAAAAGAGATGAGACTACTTATGTAAAATATTGATTATACCAGCCCTTATTCACTGAGTTTACATTTAAAAAAATTAATATATAATTTGAGGATAAATAAAATAAACCAAAAT